GACTTGCTCTCACGTACCATCCCTGCGTCGTGCTTCGCACGGAAAAAGGCGTTAATGACGTCGCACTGCTCCTTGGGCAGGGGTCGTTGGCGTGTTACACAGTATTTTAATTTCCGGAACCATGTCGATCTCATGACGCACACCTCGGTCCGGAGGTAGTACTGAAGGCGGGTCTTTGGAGACGACGTCTTGAAATTTCTTTACCAAAGGATAGTACGGATTCAAGGGATTCCGTAGGATCGACGATCCAATTCGTGTGTTCAGTACTCTCTTAAGTTCCTCCAAGACAGTTTCATCTAGAAGCGATGACGAGTTTATCTCTTCGCCTGGTCGTACAATGACCACTTCAGCCAAATCGCCTGCCTTTAAGGCACTGCCGAGCTCTTTAAGGGACATCTCGTCCATCTCAAGAAGAGCATCTATTGCAGGCATAGCCTCGAGGCGGACGTCGCCATCTTCCTACCCCGTCATACCGTTGACGAGGGTTTATAACTGTGTACCGTCGTCTAACGGTAGACACACCCTGGATCAGGGTCGACGCCCGGCATCTTGCAGCCAGCATACGGCGTCGCCGTCTCCACTGTACAGAGGTTCTATGTCTCGATGAGACTAGGGTAAACACGCACTCCGCGACGTCCGGTGCCACCCTCACTGTCCGCTCCTTTGGAGCTCCGAAATTATCTACAAAATCCGACCAAGAGCTGCTAACCCCTCCGTCTTCGTCCAGCGGATAACGTGCCATTCCACGCGCATTTGAAGGGCCGTGCCCAAGATACATCGGACTCTGTCCGACCACGCCATCAATGACATGCAGCGACTGCATCGATATTCGAGCAGCGCTCAGTGGTTTACGTGCCACTTCACGTGCATCACGGGGGCCTCGCCCTCGATGCTTCGGCCCTTGGCCGACCATGTCATGCTTGACATGCAGTGACTGCTCCAAAACTTGAGCAGCGCTCGTTGGGTTACGTGCCATTCCACAATCAGCCCGCGAGCCACGCTCGGGACTCCTGTCCGATACACTGTTGGTGTCTACCAACT